GTTCACACAGCGTCCTGGATCAGGATGATTATTTTTGGTTCTCTCTTACCTTCTTAGGATCCTAAGAAAATTACAAAGTTAGGGTAAAATTGTTCTCTCTCTGAGGGAAGAAATTGTTGCATTTTACCCCTCTTCAGCCATGCTGGAAGATTGTTGGCTTAAACCCATTGTCTCCACTGGGTTCTGTTTGAGAATTTTAAATATGACCTCTGGCTAGATAATCCTCTGAGCTATACTTTCTTCACTTCTTTACAGAGAGTTTCTGTTGATATGTATGAACTCCTAGAAAGATATTTTAAGCATCAGCTTCATTTTTATGTTATTAAAAGATAGTATCTGGTTTATCAGATCAACAGATAAAATGAGGAGGTTCAGAATGTCGTTTTTATTTAATGGTCATATTTAAAACTAGGACCAAAACTCATTTGACCACAGAGCAAAATGTGTCAGACAGCTGGCATTTATTAAACTCCAGCTAAGTCCCAGTGTGCTAAGTGCTGGGGATACAAAGAAAAGTGGGGAAAACCCCACAGAGATCAGGCCTGTTTCTTTAAAGAGATGGAAAAGGAAGTCATTTGCTTTCCTTTTATGTGTCTCTCACTTGTCCTTTCATTCAGTAATTATCTTGACAATTATGGTTTATTCCTTATCTCTTCCTTCCTCTCCACTCTTAGAGTATAATTAGTCATTTTTAATCCCTCTTAGCAGAGGAAAATACTATTGGAAATAGAATGGGTCTTTCTTTAGGCATATAGCAAGTGAGACTCCATAATATTTGCCAGCCATAGAAATACCTATGTATCTAACTGGATCAAATAAGCATTTGCTTCTCTTGTTTTTCTGATTCCTAAAATATCCTTACAAAATTTGGGTAACTAGCATCCTATCATCATTGAAACAACTTTTGGGGCACTACATCTAAACTAAGTTTTCCCAGACTATTGACTCAATTTTTCCAGTGCAGAATTCACCTTATCTGACCTTGCACAGTAAAATTTTAACATTCTGGCAAACTAATTGCCAAAATTATCATGCTAATAAATGTTGCTACAGATCATAGACTGAACCAGTCATATCCTTTTTATGGTAATTTTAACACATGCAAAATATTTTTGATCTTGTAAATGTTCTGCAGACACTGATATTTACAATCTTCTAATTTGAGACCTGAGGATTTGTATTTTGAAATTGTTTTTGTTCAGACTCTTTCTTTCCCCAACAACATATCCAGTTGAAATATGTAACCAAGGTTGAGGCTTTTTCTGTGTCTTTAAGACTATTCATGATGCCCTCCCATATTCAAGCTATTCTCTCTTTTTTTAACATATCTAGATTATAATATTGCCTAAAGGCTTTATTCATTTCCTCTCTCCTGGATTCATTGTAAGAATTTTTATTCACTGAACAGTTATTCAATATTATTATTGAACAATAATAAAGCACAACCAAAAGAAACAAAATATTTTGTTTCTGTTTTTTTTTTAAATATTCCCTGGGCCCACAGCATATAGAGAGTAGAATCCAGTTTGCACTGTACAACTGAATGTTTTGTTTAAAAATCAACAGGATAGGAGGATGGTTGGGATTCTAGGAATAAAAGGTAGGAAATGCTTTATGTGTGATTTAGACACTAGGTTTTAGCAAAAGGTTGTTAAATTGTTAATTATTTAGTTAATTATTCACAGCACAAAAAAAACTAAAAGAACCAATCTGACATAGGGAGAAGTATTTCCTTTCAAGCCTTATATTTCTTTGTGGTGCCAGGACATAACTTTTGTGGAAAAAAATGAGCTCCATTCATTCATTTGCCATGTGGCATAATTGATCTGTCCAAGCAGACCTCTTAGTCTTTGCCTGTTGGATGTTATTACAGGGCAAACCCTGTAATCTCTTACTGGCGTTACCATTTGGCCTTGAAAATCATGTGTTTTTCTAATCTTCAGACTATTTTGTGGTCAGCTCTCTGTGCCTCTGGCATATTACTAGAATGATGGAGATTTCTACAAATACAAACTTTTTGGAAGAGCAAAAGGTACTTTATACCTATCTCATTGATAGATGCGACCACTCTGAAGGAACTTTTCTTATTTTAATTTCAAATGTGTTGATGAGTTATTGAAATTTCAATTATTTTTGGTTCTCTTTTTAGTAGGATGGAGAATATTAAAGGTATTTTGCGTAGTAAACTGTCAGAGATATGTATGAAATAGTCTCTATTCTGTGTCCTGAAAGAGGCTGGCTAATTGTTAGCGCTTCAGACTTTAACTGTTACTCTTGCTTCTGTTTTTGAAGCAATATGGGACTTTGGTCAGGTCACAGCTACACTAGGTTGCTGCTTCATTTGTAAAGTCCTTTTCAGTCTCATTGTTATTCTGAGTTGTTGTGACATGGTATATATTGTTAATATCTTGCACGTGCTCAAGTTAGAAATGGTAATTTAATTATTTAAGCTCACATATTCCACATCGTCTTGCCTTTGGAAGTCACTGAAATAACCAAAGCAAATAGAGGCAGCATTCAAATGATATACCAATAACCATGTTAAGAAAAAAAAATAGGAGACCTCCTCAATGACAGAATAAATAGGAGCAGAATAACCCAGCTTTCTTTACATAGGTACTCCGGCAAAAATGGAAAATAGCACCAGAACAAGTAATTATTAATAAATCCAAGAAGAGACTACAATAAGTATATTTTTCTAGCTGAGGGGCATAGTGATATAGCCAGAAACTTTCAGAGCACAAAATAAGGAAGCTTTCAAATGGACAAAAGTGGGTGGGGCAAGGAAACCTGAAGCTGATAGCTGGGTATTCAGGGGCAGAAAAACAGGAATGTGGATATGTGGAGCCTGCAGCTATGTCACTCTCACCCCAGACCAATGGTCTGTTCAGTGATCAAGGCCAGCACCAACATAGTTCACTGGCATGAGACACCCTTGATGTCCTTGTAGAAAAAAATTACTCAGTACCCAGAGAAATCAGTGGTAAGGCACCAGAGAAAACAGGTCACAACTATACTAGGACCCACTTGTCCTTTCAGAAGTGCACAGAGTCTGGTACAGTTTAAGAAGTAAGACTGGCAAAATGAGTAAACCAAAGAAAATGTTGAGGATAAAGAAAAATTATGGAACAAAGGATGGCCAAAGCATAAACCCGAAAGAAGAGAATAACTCCATAGGATCTATAGGTAAAGCTTCAAACAAAAACAAAAAATTTTATCACAAGATCTACACATTTCCTAGGGAAAATGAAAAGATTTTAAAAATATCATATGTAGATGAAAGAATGAGAAATGAAATGAGAGTTGTAGAGGAAAGAATTTGAAGGAAAATAAATTGGTTTTATACATGAGGTACAAAATCTTACCCATGTAAGAATATTAGATTGAACTAAACAGAAATAAATTACTTCATTAGACAACAAGAAATACTAGAACAAAATCAAAAGACTGGAAAACTACAAGAAAATGTAAAATATCTTGCATCAAGTCAACTGGCCTGGAAAATATTTCAAGGAGAGAAATTTAGGAATCACAAGGCTATGTGAAAACCATGACCAAAAATAAAATTGAAAGCCTACATTTAACATTCTAAGAGATCATGAATGAAAACTACTCAGACCTATTAGAACTAAAGGATAAAGTGAAAAGAGAAAGAATTGACTGATCACCTCCTGAATAAAACCAGAAAATGAAAGCTCCTAGGAATGTCGTAGTCAAAATCCAGAGCTTTTAGGTAAAGTAAAAATACTGTAAACAACTAGAAAAAAAAAAATTCAAGTTTTAAGGAGCCATAGTCTATATCAAATAAGATTTGATAGCTGCCACTCCAAAAGAGAGGAAAACTTGGAATATATTATTCCCAAAGGGAAATGATAAAAGACTTACAACCAATAATTACTTACCTGGCAAAACAGAATATAATCCTATAGGAGGAAAATGGAATTTTAATGATATAGAAGACTTTTGAACATACCTGATGCAAAGACCAGAGCTAAGTAGATATTCTGAAGTACAAACACAAGCATCAAGAAAAACTTAGCAAAGTAAATACACTTGAACTATTGGAAGAGTTTCTACAATGATGAAGTGTTTACTTCTAACGGGGAGAGAGAAGAAACAAGTATCCCCTCAGAAGACTACTGTCATCAAGTGCCATGTAAATAGAGGGTCTAACAGTGGTTAAAGAAAGAAAGAGGACCCGTAAACAAACACACTAGGGAAGAAATGAGGGCACCTTATTATCTCAGAAAACTGAGATATTCAAGAAGAAAACTATACAAATACAGAAGACGGAATGAAGAGGGTAGGTTACACAGGAACCTTAATTTCATTTTAAGTGGTCAAAGAAGGGTTGAAGGTGCACATTTTCACATATGTATTACACAGACAGTTTGATGTAGAAACATATTAAACTCGATAGGAAATTAGGTTGGAACAAAGAGAAAGGAGGTAGGGATTAAGAAAGATAGATTTAGTGAGGGATTAGTCATAGATTTCAACTGTAGAGGGTAGATTATGAAGAGAAGAATGAAAGGAAAGAAAGAAAGGGTACGAAAAATTTCCCCTATGTTTGGGGACCGGGCAAAGGAGGAAAAGCATTGTATCAGTTACAGATTATTAGTGTTGAACACATTCCTCTCACCATTTTGTTTATAAAGAGGGGACAAAGGGACAAAAAAGAAGAGATATAAAGATAGGATGGAGTAAAATACAGAATAAATGCTCAAAACTGTGACTATGAATGGAATAAACTCATCTATAAAGTAAGAAATCATTTGTCCCAAATAATTTACATACCACTGTAGATTGACCTAAGGCCTGCCTGGGACTGTAATTTTTGTGGTTCTTATCCAGTTTCAGTTTCCTAGCTCAATCATTGACAGTCATTCTTTAACAGAAATGAGAGCTATCCCATCAGTGCATCCACATCATCAACTCAAAATTAAAATTCAGTTTGCTAAAGACTGTGTCATTTGTATCTAAAGATACTATTGTTTCAGGTTCGAGAACTACAAACACGCTTACAGAGTGTCCAGGCATCAGGGCCCTCCAGTCCAGGTCGTCTCACCTCTACTAACCGACCAATTAATCCCAGCACTGGAGAGCTGAGCACCAGCAGTAGCAGCAATGACATCCCCATTGCCAAGGTGAACTATTTTTAGTTGGCGATAATATCTCTCCTTATCTGGAAGCAACAATTACCATTGTACACAGCTATTGTGCAAGCATGGGATTAGCTAGAAAGAATTCCTTGTGTCCCAAGAGAGTTTTCCTAGTACTTAGAACTTCTACATTTGAGCTACAGGGAGAGATAACCCACTCGTAATTTTAACTCTCTTTCAACTGGAACACAAACACCAGTTCACATTAACCAACTCAGCATGGCAAAGACTTCCTCGTATGGTAACTCATTATGAAGACAGAGACGTTCTGTAAAGTCCTGCAGTGCTTCAGGTTGAATAAAAGATTTTTTCTGTTTATAAATTAGATTGAGCTTGACGATGGAAAAGGGATTTGGCTAGTATACAAGTCCTTTCCTGGTAATGAGGCCAAAACAGTTAGCAGTAGGCAAATGGTGGCAAATAGGTTATGACCAGAGAGAAAAGCTTCTCTAAGCTATCTACACCATAACAAGAATGAAGGTTTGCGTGATAGTTAAGGGAGCTAGGAAAATGACTTCACAGACAGGTCCACTACTAACGATTAGGAAGTCTGTTACACAAAGAAGTGAGCTTTTCCAGCAGATGTATCCAGTTTCAATGCTGTGGTCATGTTTACTAATAAATTAAGTCAGTTTAGTCAAACTAGTTATAGGAAAATCAGTAAAAATGATTTTTAGAACATAAGCATAAACGATATTAGTAGGCATCTATTCTGGGCACAGCATGGCTAGACACTTGTAGAAAAATCAAGTCTGGCTAAGACATAACCCATAACCATAGCCTCAAGTAGCTCACAATCTACTTAGTAGGGGAACAGGATTCCAGCACATTTAGCTGTAATGCATCTTAAGTACATCAGTGTTTTGAAACAAAGTTCTGTGTAAAGCCAGAGGAAGAAACCTGAGGGAGTTAGGACTGAAATACTTTGAGTCAAGATGGTTGGAACAGTAGCTGTATAGGCACGCAATCTAAATGACTTGTGATTTTCTTTAGATTGCTGAGAGAGTGAAACTGTCGAAGACAAGGTCAGAGTCTTCCTCATCTGATCGGCCCATCTTAGGATCGGAAATCAGCAGTATAGGGGTGAGTGTTCTTAAGAAATGCATCCGAAAATACTTAAAGAACTATTTAGACATTTAAAAAAAAACCACTTTAGAGATTATTTAATGGATATTCAAGTTTTTGATCCAGGACACCAATTAAGTCTAATACTAAATTATTTTTTTGTTCCCCAAAATCAGAACCAACATTGATTTCATTATGGTAGATAATTTTTGCAAGAGCAAATGAATTTCTATTTTCCTTTATGAAACATTGAAGAAGAAATTATCTAGGCCTGATTATTGGATACAGACGAAAAACTGGAGCTTTTTTCTGCCATCTAGATTCAATAGAAAACACATTGTAGGTATCACACCCACAAAAAACTGTATCTTGTGCACCTCACTCTTAAAAGGGAGTAAATTCTCTAGCAAGGATGAATGTTGCTTCTGAAGGATTAACTCTACATAATGAAAGGTTGAGATCTTGTACTTTAGTAGTAGAATTTTCATCAGTGAAGCCAATAAAGTCCTTCTAATTTGGAGCAGAGTAGATAGGTGATAGAAAATGGACAAGGACCATGTCTAGTGTTCCTGATGGATTGCATGGTGAGAAGGGTTCACAGTGGACAGTATCTGATGCTTTCTTGTGCTAAGAGTGATCTTGTAGTTCTCGTGCAGAGTTTTGCATTTTGGCAAAATTTCACTGAGCTGTGAAAACTCAGTCAACTGAGTGTGCAAATTATAGAAACTCCTTTAACTGGGCTGAAATCTCAGGGTTCTCAATTGCAAAGAACAAAAAAGAAAAGAAAGTGCCCAGGGTTAGTAGGTCTGTGCTATTCTAGGGCTTAGAAAGGGAGGTGTAGGGGCAGCTAGGTGGCACAGTGGATAGAGCACCGGCCCTGCAGTCAGGAGTACCTGAGTTCAAATCTGGCGTCAGACCAAACACTTGACACTTAGTAGCTGTGTGACCCTGGGCGAGTCACTTAACCCCAATTGCCCAAAAAAAAAAAAAAAAAAAAAAAAAAAGGGAGGTGTGAATCTGTTTGTGCTTTCTACCAGGTACCATTGATCCCAAACGTGGAATATTTAGGTGTACTTATTAATTTAATTTCTAAAAATCATTTTAAAACTGGCTTTTGGAACTATAGTGAAAGTATGTGAACCAAAAAACATGGCTAAAGTAATTGCTTATCTTTCATATGGTGTCCATATAAAAGCTCTCATTGGCTTTTGTTCTCCAAGAATATCAGGTTATAATAATTTGTCACTTCTACAAGTGTCTAACCCACTGCAGTACCAGCCTACAGCCCTATCAAAGAGGATTTTCTAATACTTACTACAGGTGTCTGGCAGTGTGGCAGAGCACCTGGCCCACTCTCTGCAGGACTGTTCCAATATCCAGGAGATTTTCCAGACCCTCTATTCACATGGATCTGCCATCTCAGAAAGTAAAATTCGAGAATTTGAAGTAGAGACGGAGAGATTAAACAGGTAAGTTTGAAAAAAAACAAACACTTGAAGATACAAACACAAAAGTGTCTCTCCCTGCCCCCCTCATCAGGCCCCTCATACTCTGTTCTCTCCTTTTCACATCCCCCTCTTAGCTCTTGTTCTATCTATATCACATGGAATTGTGTCATCAGTCATTGCAGTCCCTTTCTGGAGATAGCCAACATCATAGAAGAGATCTTAGTTTTCAAATAATGTCATAGATTGGTTTTCCTACTGATATATGATATATTGATTTGTATATAGGTTTGTAAAAGTGCAGAGTCTCAATGATATTTTCTCATCTCAATCATAAATTTGAATTTGTCTGAAGGATCTTTCCTATTTTTCTTTTGTAACTACATGAAAAATCTGAGGTTCCAGCTACTTTAGAGACTGGAGAAATGCTGGAGCCAATTTTGTCCACATTGGTCATAGCACAGAAACTGCCGTGGAACTGTTTTGAGGTCAGAGGAAAAGCCATGACAAGAAGACATCTTTGCAAGTCTTAGTTATACTTGTGTTGGCTCTCAGATCAATTAGGAAGAAGTGAATGGGATTAAGTCTGAAAGTTCCCTTTATTAACCAGGCAGAATTTTGGTAGTCAGGCCTACTTAATGCTTGTCTGAATAAGCCTGATCTGAGACTGTTGCTTTGTAAAGTATTCCACAAGCCCAGTAACAGTAAGTACATGGTTGTCATCTATATGAAACAGGCAGGGCAGGAGTTATGGGCCAGCTTTAGAAGACACTCAAAGTTTTCTGATTCTTGCTAACTTCAAAACTGGTGACATCATGTTGTAAATGGTAACTCCTTTGGCAAGGAAGTTTTTAAAGAGCAAATGGAAATCCAAAGCCAAGTCATTAATGACTCTTTGGCTTAGACATAATTCTCCAAATGGCAGAATGGAATATTGTGCCTTCAGGCCTAATCACTGCCTTGACCTACAATTTGTAATAGGTACCTGGGGTAAAACCGTGGAAGGTGATAAACTAACTTGGAAGAAATGTTACGTAATATGTTCACTGTTTAATCTTTGTCAAAAGTTAATTGAATAATTTATTTGAAGCTATTGTGCTTCTTAAAAACTAAGAGACTGTGGTCATTTAAGTCTTCAGAAAATTTTAAATTAAATGCTTTTCTTGTTGGATCCAGATAATTAGAGGAACCGAACTGATGGTGATTTCATTACAGAGCTGTTGTCCCTAAGTCCCCTTAATTGGTTCTCAAAGAATTATTAGTCCAAAATTGGTTTTGAAAGCATTGATTCAAATATGTCTTTTATAATGTAATAAAGTCAGATGTCTTCAAGGTAGGTTACAGCATAATATAGCTTATAGGATTTGAAAATTCTGCTGTGTAGACTGAGATTCCCTTCTCCATTAAGTGCATATTTTAAAAAGGGGACAAACTGGCATACACATGTGGACACCTATAAATAACTCACCATTTCCTGATAGTTTTGTATTTCTTGTTTTCTAACATTGGGGAATTTATTGCCCAAAAACATGATAGCTATTAGTTTTGTGGAGTAGGAAGTGAATCACTCTGCCGTTCTCATACGCTATAAAAGGAGTGTATTCCTGAGGTCTTCATCACACTTAGCCCTGAACTGTTCTTTAAATTCTCTCAAATGCATCAGTTGCTTTAGCTGAGTTGACTGTAGATGATTTTCCTCTTCTTGACTTGGCAATACTCTTGGCAATACTCCATCTGAGGATATTTTGACCTTTTAATGCTCCATGTTCAGACCACAGGTTATTCATTCTTTTAAATATGCTTCACAATTTCTAGAGACCCCTGTGCTTATACCATCTCCTCCCATCTCCTTTAGAAGCTTACCCCTGTATCTCCCTAACTTTCAACCCCTTCTGGTAATCTGGTAGCATTTTTCCTGCTGCCCAGATCTCCCTTTTAAAGAGGATCCTTTAAGAACCTTCATTTGTCCCTACTTTCCCCTCACAATTTTATCCTATTTCTCTCCTCCCCAAATTCCCAGAAAAAAAAACCTGCTGTCCTTGATGCCTTCACCTCCTCTCCTCTCATTCATTCCCAACCCCTTGCAGTTTGGCTTCCTTCCTGACCACTTCTTTGAAACACTCCCTCCAAGGTCACCAGTGCCCTCTTACTTGCTAAATTAAGTGGCCTTTTCACAGTCCTCATTCTTCGTGACCTCCCTGCAGCATTTGACACTATTCACCACTTTCTCCTTGCTACTTGCTACCCTCTGGGTTTTCATAACAATACTCTCCTAGATCTCTTCCTATGTGTCAAATTCCTCCTTGAGTCTGTCTTCTTTATAGATTTATCCCCTGTCAGTATGAGGGTATATACACTAAAAAAAGGTCAGTGTTCTGTCTCTTCTCTCTATTCATTCTCATCAGCTCCCACCTCTCTATTCACTCCCAAATCTCTATATCCATTCTTTTTTGGTGAGGCAATTGGGGTTGAATGACTTGCCCAAAGTCACACAGCTAGTAAGTGTTACGTGTCTGGAGCCAGGTTTGAACTCAAGTCTTCCTGACTTCAGGGCCAGTGCTCTATCCACTGTACCACCTAGCTGCCCCTTGTGTATCCATTCTTTATCTCTCTCTTGAGCTTCAGTCTTGCCTTTCCAACTTCGTCTCCACCTAGATAGGCATCTCAAAATCAACATACACAAAACAGAACTCGTTATTCTTCGTATACATGCTCCCATTTCTTATTTCCCTATTTTTTAAGTGACTATCATTCTTCTAGCCAGCCAGATTTACAACCTAGGAGTCATCCTTGACTGTTCAGATTCACCAACCATTATTAATCATTTACCACATCTTTGATTTTCCTTCTATAGTGTCTCTTGTGTTTATCTACTTTTCTCTATTCAGACTACAACTCTCTCCTGGATTATTACAGTAGCCTCCTAACTGGCCTCCTTGCACCCAGTCTCTTATCACCAGAATTTAAGAGATCAGTTTCCTTCATTATCTGTATGTGTTTTATTTGTTAAAATATCCAAGATATTAAAATATTTCTTCTATCTGAACAATTAAAATCTCTGACATGAATGTATGTAAGTTACTTTTAAAAGAATTGGCAGATTTATTAGCATCAACAGGAAATTTGAAAATGAGTCTTTGTCTTTGCAGTCGAATAGAGCACCTGAAATCTCAGAATGATCTGCTGACCATAACACTGGAGGAGTGCAAAAGCAATGCTGAAAGGATGAGCATGCTGGTGGGGAAGTATGAGTCCAATGCCACAGCTTTGAGGCTTGCATTGCAATATAGGTAGGTCAGTAGTTGTGGCGAAAATACCCTGTCTTTTTTTTTGTTGTTGTTGTTGAGACAGGGTTAAGTGACTTGCCCAGGGTCACACAGCTGGTAAATGACAAGTGTCTGGTCTGAGGCCAAATTTGATCTCAGGTCCTCCTGACTCCAGGCGCAGTGCTCTATCCATTGTTCCACCTAGCTGCCTCAAATGGACTTTTTTTGGGAGGCAGTTGGGGTTAAGTGACTTGCCCAGGGTCACACAGCAAGTAAGTGTCTGAGGCCAAATTTGAACTCAGGTCCTCCTGACTCCAGGGCTGGTGCTCTTATCCACTGCGCCATCTAGCTGTCCCTGAAAATACACTGTCTTTTAAAGCCACCTTTTATTACAAAACATATCTTGGCATATATGCCTTCTAGGTAAAAATAAAGACTGACGTTTGGAGCAGATGAGGCTTAAGATCAGGAAAATTGGTGTTTGGTGTATTAGTGTGTTGAAATCTCCTTGTAGCATTAAAAGGAGAGGAGTCTTGGATTAGCTTTTAAAATAGTTGTGGCACCTTCAGGAGGTCAAAGTGATTCACTTTATCACTGATCACTGAAGCTTTTTACCAAGGCTCAGGGGCAGGGATGGCACCTGACTCTTTGTAAATCCAGATAATAAGGAATGTTAGTTGTCCCCGCCCCCCTTTCCTCCTAAAACACACCAAAGAAAAAAAAAAGGTAATCTGTTTTACTTTGGTCTTTGAAGCAAGCAGTCCTGTCTCTCTTTAGAAATAGCTAAGGCTACAATCTCCCTATTAACAAAGTGAACCAAATTATAGCGTGTGAAAATGGTGGTTGACTCATAACCCCTTTTCTTTTTTTAACTATTTTATGAGTTTTTTTTGTAAGTAGTATTTTATTTTTTCCAGTTACATGGAAAAATAGTTTTCAACATTCATTTCTTACAAGACTTTGAGTTCCAGATTTTTTTCCCTCCCCTCCCTGAAACAGCAAACAATCTGATATACATTATACATGTTCAATCATGTTAAACATATTTCCACATTAGTCATGTTGTGAAAGAAGAAACAGAACAAAAGGGAAAAAACCACAAAAAAAACCCCCAAACAAAAAAAAAAGTGAAAATAGTATGCTTTGATCTGCATTCAGACTCCATCAGTTCTTTCTCTGAATGTGGATAGTATTTTCCATCACGAACCTTTTGGAATGGTCTTGGATCATTATGTTTTCAACTCTTTTTCTTGAAGGGATTAAGGTAAATGGAGGAGGTGCAAGTATCTTTTCGGGTTGGGGCTATCCCTTCCTAGCGATATTTATCTAGCATTTTATAAGAGTAAGCATTCAAGAAATAAGAAGGTAAAATAAGATATTATTATCATCCAAATAGATTTATGGTTATGCCATTTTTATGCTGCCTGGCTTAGAATACATGTCACAGAGTATTTGGGTAAAAAGGCCAAGAGGACTACTTCATGCTTGTTGTTTGCGCCCAAGCAAGGGGTAACATTTGTGTCACATATGTGCTCAGTGTGAATGAGGTTTATGTTGGGCTAGGGGTGTTACTGACTGTCAGGATTATGTTTTACCCTTTCTGTCAGTGACCAAGATTTGGAAAGAGAAAAGGGAGAAATTCATCTAGAAAAGAGAGCCAAAAAGTAGGACATCCTCTAAATGCAATTTCTCTATGCCTTAGAGGAAAATGGCCTCTATTTTCATATTTATTACATTTCCATTTCATCTAGGCATCAAAAGAAATGCAAATTCATCCTTCCTAGCTTTATTTTATTGCATCTTTTTTTTTTGTTTTTTCCTAAATCCTAAAATAAAGAAGAAAAAAAGCAGCATGGTCAGTATTGATCCCAGTAAATATTTACGGATGGCTTTTTGCTCAGTTGTGTTGAGCCAGAGTAGTTGAGAGATAGAGAGAGAAAAAGACTAAACTCATGTCATGGAGGAAAATTTCCCCAGCTTCATCTCTCACAGTGATAATATATGACAAATAATAGCTCACATTTATGTAGTGCTTATTATCTGCAGAGCGCTTTTTCAGACAGCCTGCATCACAATGGTGCTGTATGTTACAGATGAGGAAAATGAAACTTAGAAAGGTGAAGTGACTTGTCCGTGTTAACATGTTTATTTAGTGTTGATGCCAGGACTCCAAGTCAGGTCTCCTGACTCTAATAACCAGTGGTTTTTCTATTATGCTGCAATACCTGTTTTTTCATCTTTTTGACTACATATATTTTTTCTTAGTTGAGGACTCTGGGTTTTATGTTTTACAGTGAGCAATGCATAGAAGCCTATGAACTCCTGTTGGCACTAGCAGAAAGTGAACAGTCTCTTATCCTTGGACAGTTCCGAGCGGCAGGTGTGGGATCTGTTGGTAAGGACCACGTGAATGTATTTCTTTCAAGTCCTACTCTGTGCTTCATTAACTGTATGTGTTCCCCAACACTCTGTTAGAGTGTGTTTTCTTTTTTCCTCCCTTTTGAGTAAATTGTTTATTTTGAATGGAATAAGAATTGCAATTGAAACACAGAATTACAGACAAGTTAAAACAAACATTCCTTCCCTGTAAATGTATTTTCATGGGCTAATAGAATTGCTAGACATTAAGACTGGTGCGGCAATAGAAATGATTCAACTTTCTTCTTTCAAAGCAGGGACCCACTCTCCCTTCACTGTGTGACATTGGTTTCAAGAGACTCATTCCTCTGTTGATTGAATTTTTTCCAAGTTTTCTTTCCCATAATTAAGGCTTTATAGTTTTAGTGTGAATAGATTTTTTTTTTTGTTCTTCATTTTCAAGTCACCCTTTCCCAATTGCTGTTCTATAAAACCCTGGTTCCTTTGAAATGTGAATAGAAGTTCCATGAGAAAATTTTAAAACTTTCAATGTCTTCCCCTTTAAAAATATGTAGAAGCGTGTGTATGTTTATGTATGACTTTCCTCATTCCCCCCCTCCCACTCCCCCAAATGTTCCTAATCTCCCTTTATCGTATAGTACTCTGTACAAGCACTTTAATTCCATCAGGCTCTTCTCAACTTCTTTACCCACTTTTTTTCAAAAATTAAGACGATTACCTTTCCAAGCTCCAAAACAGAGACAGTGCCAACAATTCCATTAGAAACCTCATTTTTTCAGCATCTTTTAGTTGATCTTTAAAACTTTATTTCTCATATGAAACTGATCCAAAAATGGTCTTGGCCAGCAGTCAAGATTTTCAAAAACATACCTATTAACAAATATGATCAGTTAAAAGGGAAAAAAATAATTTGGCTTAATTTTAGTTTATATTAGAGAGAACTCTTTATCTTAAATTTCAAGAACATTCTTTTGTGAGCTTGTAGCCCAAAACATGAGCACAACATAGCTACTTGTGTAGTAGTTGGGATCATTTAAGTAAATGTTTAAAATCAATAATAAAATAGTTCAAATTTACCTAGTTCTAGGTAGCAGGCATGTATTTATAAGATAACCTTCTTAGTTATACCATTTCTTTATAGCTGAACTTAAGGAATTCTAATACTTAAAGGATACATGATTTCATCAGTATTTCCACTATTTCCAACCAACCTAGATTGCAGCCCTCTCTCCTTTAAAAGTCTTCATGAGTGTCTTTGGCAGGGGGAAAAATCATTTATTGGTGAGCCAAGCTGAGCCACTGAGCCTTTCTGAACTCTCTAAGCTTAGTCCCCAGTCCATCACTAGACTCATATCTGAAGCCTTTTGATCTTGTTATGTCCTGCCAGCTCCTGTACTCTACTGGCATAGCCTTTGAGTACCCATACTTAACTCTATACCACTGTGGGGTATTAGAATAGAATGTTAGTGGAAGAAGGAGGAATGAATTAGGATTTTTTTTTTTAATATGTGATTTGTGAGACAAAAAGATATCTTTGGAAAGGTTAGTTTTCAGATGGACAAAAGCCAAAAAAATTAGGGAACTTACTATCTACAACTTTTTTACCTGATATTTACCAGCTCCCAATACAACTTAGAAGCCTTAGTGGGTCAATTTAATTTTGAATAGCATCAAATTCAATTATTTTTTCTTTACCTCTCTTAATTCTCTATATGCAAGGAAAATATAATAGTGACACTGAAAGTGTTACTTTGTGCCAACTTTTTTTTCTCATATAGATCTGTGTTTTTGTTGACATGTGCAACTTCTAGTGAAGAAACTCCAGTTTCCAGTGCATATTGACCACTCTTCTGCAGTTTAAAGCCTTGGACAGTTTTCTGAGGGCAGCTAGGTGGTGCAATGGATAGAGTACTGGGCTTGGAATCAGGAAGACTAATCTTCATGAGTTTAAAGTCAACCTCAGACTAGCTATTTGACCTTGGGCAAGTTACTTAACACAGTTTGCCCCATATATAAAATGAGGTAGAGGAAGAAATGGCAAACTGCTCCAGTATCTTTGCCAAGAAAACCCCAAATGAGGTTATGAAGAGTCAGACACAACGGAAAAATGACTCAACAACAATAGCAGTTTCCTGAGGCACCACAAGTTTATTCCAGTGGTCTCACAACCAGAATGTTTCAGAAAGGGTGCTTGAGTCCAGCTCTTCTAGACTCTCAGGCCCAGTTCACTGTCCATATTACATCATGTTGCCTCTTATTTGTGCCAGTGAGAAGGAGATGTCAGTGTTCTGAATAATGGTTGACCAGTGTAATTTTTTGTTTCTCATAGACTGCACAGGTTCTTTTTTTAAATTTCATGCTTCAGTGGTAGCTTTATATATGCAATGTTTTATATGTTTGCAAACAAAATGCTTTAATGTTTGCAAAGCTCTTTACATATATGACCTCATTTGGTTAACTATAGATCAGCTAAACTAATAATAGAAATGCAATAGCACAGGTAAAGGAAATCTAGAGATAATTCAGTGTTTTCATTTTAGCTATTAGTTCCTTCCCCTTTCCCTAATAAATCTTTTAGCAGGGAAGTGAACTAGTAATAAAGTTGCATTATTCTGCCGTTTGTTTCCCTTGACTGCCCTCCTAAAGAAGAACCATTGTGCTATGAAAAAATGTGATAACCTGAACCTAAATTGGATAATTCCTGAATAAGTGGATGTTAGAAGTGAAAGGGATTTCATTGCATAGATGAGGACACTGTGGTCAAGAAAGAAGATTACAAGACCAGAGAACAAGATTATACAGTGAGAGAGCCAGAATGGGAACGCAGGTGTGCTGACATTTAGTCTAATGCCTTTTTCCCTACAGCACCCTGCTTCTCATCCATTGAATAATTGAATCTTGCTTGCCTATGTTCCTCCCCAGGCTTATGCTATGTCAATTATTCCACTGATTACTTTACAACTTAGGGGACCAGACAAGAGATGAAAATGTTACCCAGATGCTCAAGCATGCTCATGATTGCCGGAAGACAGCTGAGAATGCCGCCAAAGCCCTGCTGATGAAGCTGGATGGGAGCTGTGGGGGAGCATTCACTGTCCCTGGCTGCAGTGTGCAGCCTTGGGAGAGCCTTTCTTCTAATAGCCATACCAGGTAACCAGAACACATCTCCTCTCTTGTCCTGTCTGCCTTTTCTTTCAGCCTTCATTAAACTATTGATGTCTTAGTCCACTTCTTCATTCAGACTGACATGCAGGGGATATGTGTGTGTGTGTGTGTGTGTGTGTGTGTGTGTGTGCGCGCGCATGTGCACACAGGCACAGGTATGAGCATGTTTTCAGCCATTACCAGGTTTGCCTGACCTAATTTTTATTTGAATCTTGGCCATACTCCATTCAAAGAAGAATCATTAAAATTAGAGCTGTAAGAGATTTCTTTAGAGATTCATGTAATCAAACCTTCCTTTTACAGATGAAGAAACTGAGGCTCAGAGATATGAAATCGTAGTACAGCAGAAGAATACTGGAATTAGTCAGAGGCCCTAAATTCAAGTCCCACTTTTGATGCTTATTTCTTGTGTGACACTAAGCAAATCACTTAACCTCTCTGGGTCTCATTTTCCTAAACAGTAAAATAACTTCAAAAGTCTCTTCTTTATACCTGAACCATTAAAAGGTTCAAATATACATTTGAATAAACACTAAAGAATGATGTATTTGCTGTTTTTATCATCATCAGAGGATAGTACTACTTTTTATATGCAGGAAATATTTTCTAAATTATCCTATCTTTTTTCATGTGCAGATCAAGTACCTAGAGCCTTATAGAATATAGATTGAATTTATATTGCAGGGTAGGAAGTTCTATTTGTGTTAGTGCTAGAAAGTATCTCACTGTAAGGGTTTCAAGATGTGTTACTCATAGCTTTAGCCATATGGGGTACTGCATCTTGCTGCCTGCCTCAAACTCCAGAGAAAGGCAGAATCCTGCCCCACTCCAATTCACTTGGCCAGTTGCCCACAGCCATGTCTCCTCCTTATTTCAACTTATTCTAGCAGTTGACTTCCTCTCATGTACAGACTGAAATGTTACTTAGACTTTGGCTTCAATACGGAAAGCAAGTGTTTTTCCTAATGGTACGTCCAGATGTGTTATATCTACAGTTTGTATATTAGTTTGGCATAGGTATATGCATCCCCGGTGACAACTTATCTACTTGGAGCATTGATTGGGACAGTTAAGATTGGCATTCACTTTGTGCTATAAATCTTTTACTTAAGTGGTTCAGTAAAGTTACCCTTCTCAACAGTCTTAGATCTAACACCCAGAAGTAAATTTAGAGGTATGTGAGGAGAAAAAGTTTTATCACCATCTGTTTGGAAAGGAGATAAAGATGAAAAAGGAGATAAAAAATCTCTAAAAATCCTAGTGGTATATGCAAATTTAACCTTTCTCAAGGTATACATATAAACCTTAAGTTTATATGTTATCTTAAAAAAAAAAATTCTTCTCTAAATATATTTGTGAAGGGTTCAGAATAACACAAAATGTTCTCTACACTAAGTGACCTGTAGTAGCTCTCAGGGAGAATGATCTCTGAAGATTGATTAAACTTAAACAATTTTAATGCTATGTGGCAAGAACAAAAAAAAAATCCCCAAATGCTTTCGTAATTATGGTAATTATTGTCGTTTGTTTGTTGATCCTGACAGCCTAACTCATAGATCACTAGACTATTGGAATTAGAAGGGATCTTTGATATTTTCTATTCCAGTCCTCTTATCTTACAGATGAGAAGACTGAAGCCCAGAGTGGCAAAGTGACTTGCCTACCACCAAGAGAAGAAAATTACTAAAATGAAATTTTATATGACTTGTCTAGAGTTGTTAGGAGTCTTGAAATAGGGGCTAGAAATGGTGGAATAGTTGAAGCTTAATTTTTATTCTAAACCTAGTTTCTCCCAAAGGGCTGTCTAATGTTTATAGGAGTTTTTGTCAAATAGTGAGCCTTTCCCCTCATAATTGGGATCTTTTGCAGATTCATATGCAGTCCTCTTTTTTATTGTACTGTGTTCTGGAAGTGCTTTTTTATTCCACTTATTTTATTCCATTTATTCTCTCTGTACCTCTCCGTTCTTCTCCTTTTTCCTTCCTTCCTTCTCTCCCTCCCCCAGTACAAAATCATTTTTACTGCCTATTGCTTTGTAATCTAGTTTAAAATCTGATACTAATAGATCCCCTTCCTTCCCATTTTAAAAAATCCTTACTCTTTAGAGTCTTGAATTTTGTTCTTTATATAAATTTCATTATTATTTTTCTAATTCTACAAAATTTTGTGAGTCTGATTGCTTTAGCACTGAATAAATACATTAATTTAGGTAGTATTGTAATTTTCATTGATTTGGGTCAACTCAATGAAAATAATGTTTCTTAAACCATTTGGGCCTCTATTTCTGCAATGAGTGTTTTATAATTTGATTCATATAGGCCTTTGGTAAATTTTGGTAGATGGACTCCCAAGAATTGTATAACTTTTGTAGTTATTTTTGAAGGAATTTCTTTTTCTAGCTCATCTTTTCAGGGTTTGTTGGTCATACATAGGAATGTTGATAAATTATGTGGATTTATCTTGTATCCTACAACTTTATTTAATTATTTCAATTAATTTTTATTTGATTCTCTAGGGTTCTCTACATCATCATATCTGTAAAGAGAAATAATTTTATTTTTCCTTTGCCTATGTTTGTTTCAATTTCTTTGTATTGCTTATAGTTTGCATTTCTAGAACAATGTTAAATAATATTAATGATAATGGGTATCCTTGCTTTACCTCTGATATTATGGGAAAGGTCACTAACTTTTTTCCATTACCTATGTTTGCTCTTGGCTTTTGATAAGTATTATTTATTCTATTAAGGAAAGGTGCAATTACTTCTATAATTTATAATAGAGTTTTTAATAGAAATGATTATTGGAGTTTATCAGAATATTTTTAATTTCTATTAATTTAATTGAATTTAAAAATTATTTGCATTAGTGAAGGTATAATCTTCCTTATGTTGAATGAACCCTGAATCCCTGGTATAAACTCAGTCTGGTATATAATCTTTCTAATATGTTGTTTTAAACTTCCTGCCAATAAAACATTGTCAGGGAGATTACAACAATAAAACATTTAAAAATTTTTCATCTGTGTTCATTAGGGATATTGGCCTACAATCTCTCCATTTTTTAGGTATCAAGGCCATATTTGCATCATGGAAAGAAATGGAAGTGTGATTTCTTTTCTTATTGTTGCAAACAGTTTATGAAGTATTGGAATTAATTGTTTGATTGAATTTGATCTTGTGAATTTATCTGATCCTGAAGGTTTTTTTTCCTTTGGAAGATCACTTATGGTTCACTCATTCTTTTCCTAGCATCATGCTGTTTAAATAGTCTAATTCCTTTTTTGTTAATCTATTTTTTATTTTTGCAAGTTATCAGGGCTGTTAACATATAAATTTGGACAAAAGGTTCCCTTTTTCCTCATTAATTGCTCTGATTTCTCCTTTTTCATTTTTATATGAACAATTTGATTTTCCATACTTTTAAAAATCAGATTACCTTATGTATATCATTTTAACTAGCTTTTAGTTTTATCAAAACAGTAGCCTTTCTGCTTTTAATTTAATTGCTCTTTAATTTCAATAATTTCTACATTGTTACTTAGTTGGATTTATGTGAATTGCTGTTGTTCAAGTTTTTTTTTTAATTGCATGATTAATTCATTGATTTTTTTTTTCTTTCTCATGTTTATTGATGAAAGTGTTTAGAGAGATATAACATCTGTCCCTCACAACTACTTTGGCTGCATTCTATAAGTTTTGGTATGTTGTCTCAATATAATTTGTCCTTTGACCTACCCATTCTTTAGGATTAAATTATTTAGTCTCCAGTTGCTGTTTAATTCTTTCTTTAAGAACTTTCTATTGAATGCAACTTTACTGCATTTTGATCTGTAAATTATGAGTTTAGTATTTCTGCTTTTCTATTTTTTTTTTGATGAGAACTCCATGCCCCAGAGATTGTGTAAAGGTGCTATATATAACTGAGAATTATATAAAATCTTCTTTACTCCCATTCAGTCTATTAGATCTTATTCTCTATGCATCCTTAACTTCTATAATCCTATGACTTTACCTATATAATTTTAGTCTGTGAGTTTTTATCCCTTTATTCCCTCTGAATCTTTTGAAATGTGCTTTCTCAAAATATGAAGTGTGCATCAGACTAGACCAGAATTTCCTCTCCTTCATCACAGTGTCTTGGAGCAAATGGTCAATTCTCCCCAGAGTTTCCACTGTTTCTACTCCAACAACTTGTTCCTTCCTATTAATAAGAATAAGATCCAAAATAGATTTTCACTTCGTTGGTTCCTGAACTTTTTAAGGTATGAAATTATCACTGTCAAGAATTTATTAGGTACTCTGTTTTGGTAGAGAAAGACTCCAGCTAACATATCCATAGGTCCCCATCATTAATATATTATTCCTTCATGCCAGACTTATGATCTGTTTCACAAACTCCACATCTATTTCTTCTTTCTGTAGGAATGCATGATCAAAACAGTTTGTGGACCTTCAGCAAACTATGATGCTGACAAAAAGAGAAAACTGGTATCCTCTTGCTGCTAGGTTTTGGACAAATGTTATGTAATGAAACTGAGCCTACCTTCCATGTTTTGTTGGTACTTTTCCACAGAAGCTCAGACCCATGATACTGTCTTCCAAAAAAAAAAAAAATTCTCCCCCAGCTGCAAGAGTGCATTGGCAGAAGGTTCAACTTTGACATTTGTGCATTAAGAAAGGTAGCATGGAAAATCTGCTGATTTTTAGAGTATGAAAAATTCTTCATTCCCATTTTCAGAAGAGGGAAAAACAGAAACAAGATCATACAAACTCCATATGCAGTGCCTTCACTTCCTCTCCTATCACTCTCTTCTTTTCTTTTTCTTTTTCATTTCTTAACATTAATTTTTTAAATTTTGAGTTCCTAATTCTCTGACTTCCTCTAGTCCCTCTCCCTACCTATTGAGAATTAAACCAGTATGACACCCATTATACATGTGAAGTCATGCAAAACGTGTTTCCCTATTAGCCATGATGCAACAAC